GACAGGGACAGAGGAAAAGGAAAAGGAAAGAAGGACGAAGACAAGGAGAAGTAATGGATGCTTGCAATGAGGCGGATGGAGTTGATGGCGTGAGAGCAGATGAGAAGCAGACGATGGAGGGAAGGCTTTGTGGCAGAAGTTTCCCCCCAGGTGAAGAGAACAGCAGAGGCCGACCTTTGTTGGAGGAATTTGAGCATGCTAAGTCCCCCCGGCTTGAGGGGGGCGAAGGAGAGGCAGTTGAGGTGTCAAAGGACATTGCCAAAGAAGCTGCAAGGAGCTCCGCCCAGGAGGCAGAAGACAGAGGGGTTCCGGTGTCTCATACAGCGGTGGGAGAGAAGCAAGCCGACTTGAGCTCTCCCGATGCAAGACGTGAGTCAGAGGCCCGTAGCAGCCAGGTTTCACCAAGCACTATGCTCCAGGCAATGAATGCGGCTCGGGTTCTACTTGAACAATTTGAAGATGGGCGCATGCAGACCACGGCATTGGAAGACTTTATTCCACCAAACGAATGTATTTTTCCCCTTCCTATGCCCCCGTGCCGTAGTGAAAAGTCTGGAGAGGCGTGTGAGCAGATGATTTTTGGACTCAACCATCTGGCCATTGGTCGAGGGCATGGACCGGTGCCCGCTCGTTACCCCGAGGGTCTGATGGAAAATTTGGGTAGTTTGTGCGAGCGCTTCGATGTGTGGGACAAGGTTTTGGACCCGATTGACTTTGATTCGTTCTTCAAGAAGAGAGGGGTTACGTATGCAGGTGAAGAGATCCGGTTGGCTCAAACGTTGTGTTGGGAAGCTGTTCGAAACTCACTTCCAGAGCAGGTGGGACAACTGGACCTTTTGGACTTTTGCACGGAGGGTACCCTTCATTACATTCGTCACTTGGACTTTTTGGTTCCTGAAGATGCAATGGTTCGCGTGAGGCCACCAAAGGTCATGGTAGGGGGCGACTGGACGGTGTTGAGCAGAGGCCTGGTGGAACGCGGCATCTGCGAAGTCTGGCCGGTGGAGAGGCTCTACCACATTGGCCAGGAGCCCTTGCTGAACGGTTTGTTTGCGGTCGGAAAGGGAGAATTCGTCGGTCCGCTCGAAACTCAGAGGCTAATTATGAATTTAGTGCCATTCAACCGTGGGGGAGGTCGCAACCCTCCCGTCCATCGCTTCTTTCACAGCTTTTTGTTGGACGAGGGGGAGGTTGCAGTGATGAGCGCTGAAGACATTCGGTGTTTCTTTTACCTCTTCCAGGTTCCCGTTGAATGGAGAAGGTTTTTGGGCTTCAATAAGGAGGTGGATGAGACTTTGATCCCAAGCAAGTGGAAGGGCAAACGTTGTGTGTTGGTGTCTAAAGTGCTGCCGATGGGCTTTGTGAATAGCGTGTCTATCGCACAACACATACACAGGAACGTGGTTAAGTGGAGCCAGCAAAACATTCCTCATGGTCTCGGCGGAGAAACTGAAATGAGACGTGACCGAGTAGGATCGTCGTCTTCTGTTCTGTTCCGTGTCTACCTTGACAATTTCGATCTTCTGGAACGTCATAGTCAGGCCCAGGCGGACTTAATTAAGGGCACAGTTGCAGAGGCTGTTGAGGCATTGAGGGAGGAGTACTCCCGGTTGGGGCTTCCACGACACCCGAAGAAAGCGACAGAGCGCGTGGTTAAGGCTGAGATACAGGGTGCAATTGTGGATGGAGAGCTAGGCTTCGCCATGCCTCGTCCTGAAAAGGTTCTTCTCTATGTGTCTTTAGCCCTGAGCCTGGTTCAACGGAAACAATGCACACTCAAGGAGTTGCAGGTGGTGTGTGGAGGTTTCGTGTATTTCTGCATGTTCCGTCGTCCCCTGTTGTGCGCTCTCAACGAGGTGTGGAGGTTCATGGAGAGGTTGAAACACTTGCCACCAGTCGTGCGTATGCCAATGCCCAAAGCGGGTGATGAGGGAGCTTCTCAGGTTCATATTGCTATGTCCTCTGGCACAGATGAGCATGAAGTTGCCTCTGGCTGACCATGTGACTTGCAGTGATGCGTCCACGCGGGGTGGAGGCTTTTGTGTGAGTGCTATGGAGTTGCTGCATTAGAGTCTGATGTGAGAGGGGACATCCCCGAGGAGATTCAGATCACGCAGATTCTGACCGTTGGCCTCTTTGACGGACTTGGTGCCCTCAGGTTGGCGGTTGATGCCTTGGGCATACCCGTAGCAGGTCACTTGAGTGTCGAGAAGGAGCCCACAGCAAGACGCGTGGTTGAGTCGTATTTTTCCCTGATGCCATTTTCCATGAAGATGTCGTGACCGTGGATGCCTCCTTGGTGCGTTCCCTTAGCCTCCGGTTTCCCTCTGTTGGGCTGGTACTGATTGGCGCGGGACCACCGTGTCAAGGTGTGAGTGGGCTCAACGCTAGTAAGAAGGGGGCCTTGCTGGACGCCCGGAGCAGTCTCTTCCAGGAGGTGCCACGCATTCGAAGTCTGTTTGAGCAGTTCTTCCCGTGGGCGCAAGTGCAGCTTCTTATGGAATCGGTTGCATCCATGTCAGACGCTGATCGGATGGTGATGAGTCGTGCAGTGAATTTACACCCTCACTACATCGATTCGGCCGGCATCACGCTCTGTCATAGGCCTCGGCTGTACTGGGTGTCTTGGGAATTGACTCCGCAGGTGGGAGCTGTCGTGAACGCTCCCGGTAACTCTGGCCGGGATTGCAGTGGTTCAGTAGACTTGACGGCAGACATCCATGCTGAGTCGCTACTTGAGACAGGATGGCATTTGACCCAAGGGGCCAGGTTCCCTACGTTCACCACCTCACAGCCGAGGACTTCGCCAGGACGACGCCCAGCGGGGCTAGACCGTTGCGCAGCTCATGAACGTCAACGCTGGGAGAATGACGCCTTTAGGTTCCCGCCTTACCAATACCGTGACCATCAGTTGGTCTGGAACAAAAGGGGGGAAGGAAGGTTGCCCAATATTGCTGAAGGAGAAGCGTGCATGGGAATCCCAGTGGGTTATACTCGACCTTGCGTCGGCAAGCAGGAACAACAAGGAGACAACTGGAACGACATTCGCTTGACACTTGTGGGTAACTCCTGGCAGGTAGGAGTCATTGCATGGCTTGTCTATCAGCTCGCCTTCAAGCTAGGCATTTGTCGTCCACACACTGTGCAGGACATTGTGGACAAGCTCACGCCCGGGAAAGGCACTCACCTACAAAGCTTGCTACTTCGTCCTCCCGTGGGGGTCCATGGTTGCTTGTTGTCTTCCCTTGAAAAGCCCTTGTTGCGAAACCTGTTGGGCCTTGTGTCCATCAAAGGCGAGGACTTAATGGTCCAGAGTGCAAGTGAGCCACAAGTCAAATTCCATCGGTTGAGGACCAGCGTGCCCGCAAAGCTTTGGAAGTGGCGAGAGGTCGCCGGTTGGTCATGGAAGCGTGCAGGCGACCACATTAACATCCTTGAGCTCAGGGCGGTGTTGACCACAGTTAGGTGGATGGTTCAGCGTCGTCGGTTGAAGAGTTGTCGGGTGTTGCACCTCATTGATAGCCTGGTGTGCTTGCACGCGTTGTCTAGGGGGCGTTCCTCAAGTCAAAAGCTTCGCTTAGTGTTGGTGAAAGTCAACTCGCTACTCCTCGCTGCCGACCTCCACCCCTGTTGGGGTTATGTGCATACAAGCCAAAACCCTGCCGACCGGCCTAGCCGGCGGCCGCTCCGCCGTAAATGGGGAAAGTAAGTGTACATTTGGAGGGTCGCAGCAAAGAGGAAAGAGCGAAGCAAAGGCAAAGTTTAGGAACGTTGAAGCAACTGGCCCTACAACCCAAGACGCGCAAGCGTTACCAGGCTGCCCGGGAGAAGTTCTACGCGTACTTGCAAGAGAACCATCTAGAATTGCCCCGCAGGCTGCCAGCTTTTGATGACCTCCTCTCCGACTACGTTGAGCACTTATGGGCCTCAGGAGAGGGGCGAGCACTAGCAAGTGACAGCGTTGCTGCCATGCAGGATGCGGAACCTCAGTTGAAAGGGAAGCTCCAAGGGACATGTTGTCTCCTGAAGACATGGCACACAAATGAGGTGCCAAACCGCGCTCCTCCGCTACCGGAGGCGGTCCTTGAGGCCATGTTAGGCTGGTGCCTGTTCCACGAACAATACGCGTTCGGGCTTTCTTTGATGCTCGGTTTTTACGGCCTTCTTCGTACAGGTGAACTCTTGTCCGTGTGCAACCACCACATTTTCATGACAGGACCAGACAAGCCTGCTGTGATCTCCCTAGGGATGACGACAGGCGGAAAGCGCACAGGTGCTGCCGAAAGCATCACGGTGACGGTAGGTCCAGTACTTGCATGGCTTTGGGCTTGGAAGAAGACCTCAACCTCACACAGCCCGCTGACACCTCCCCCACATCAATGGCGAGCCAAATTTAGTGAATGCCTAGCTGCACTGTGTTTGAGTGATATGGGGTTTAGGCCTTACTCACTCCGCAGAGGCGGGGCCACATTTTGGTTTGGTAAACACGGATCACTGGATAGAATCCTGATCCAAGGGCGGTGGGCCGCCGCCCGCACGGCACGAATCTACCTAAACGAGGGACTTTCAGTGTTGGCCTCCCTAAGAAGTCCTTGCTGCCTTTTACACGCCTGTTTCACTCGCTTAAACTGACAGACTTGCCTCGAATCCTTGAGCGTACTAAAGCAGGTGGGGAAACGTGGAAAGGAGAGGGGGTAGGGTGTGATTTTTTTT